ATTATGCCCCCCATGGGAGGGAGGGGGGGTAATTTTGGTATTCAAGTTATTAGAGACCATAGGCTTTGGATCTTTATGTCATCTTTAACCAAAAAAAAAAAAAAAGGCGTGGAGTACCCGAAGGCTGAAGCTTTTTTGAAGTGCAAATATCATTTCCTTTTTTCCAAATATACCTCAACTTAGTAATTAAGTGACAATGAACTTTTTACATTTCAATACGGTTTCTTAAGCAATGCGCTGAGTAACATAATTACTTGGGTATATGATGACAAGCAAGCACAGCATATTGCCCTCACGTAGATGTTAATTTTTTTTTCTACTGCAAGATTTAGAGGAAATAAAGTCTTCTATTAAACCGAAAGACTATTTTATTGTGTTTGGATAAAAATATTTCGCAGTTTTGGATGAATTTTCACTTAACTGGGTTATATTTAACCAGTTTAACTTTAGATTTGGTTAATTTTGGGTTGGGTCATCTCAAATTCATGAGCCAAATATGACCAATTTATTAATTTATAGATTTTGATACATAAATTCTTTCAATTATATTTTTACTTACAAAATTTTTTTTCACATACATAAACACATTTTCACACACTAAAACACTTTCACAAATACAAACACACTCATTTCTTAAGTTCTTTAGAAATATATTATTTTTACACACTAATATACCTTAGCAAATACACACACATAATAACTGTTTAAACTATTTGGATGAACTCACTATTTTTTATACAAGTAAGGATTTTTAAACTGAATAGTGGATGAACTCCTTATTTTTTATACAAATAAGGATTTTGAACTGGATAGTGGATATAGCTTTGGTTCAAACTAAGAGACCGGAGCAACAATTTTGGTCCAAGTTAAATATAGCATGAAAAAATGGTATACCAATATACTTTTTTCCAAGTCTTGTTATTTGATTTAGCATTAGCTGTACCAAATATATTTTTAGTCTCATAAAAGATCCAATCATGCCTTAATTAAATTGAAATTTTGATGAGAGAGATACAATTCTCAACCAATTAGTTCAAGTATCACTATCCAATTCACTGATTACATACTTCCATGAAATTATGAAATTATCAACAATTTTGTAATGAAAAAATGACTATATTATTGAGATAAATAAGTATCAATATCTTTGTGATCAATATTTTTTATCACACACAGCCTAAGTATCAATATTTCTGAAATTATCAATATCTTTGTGATCAATGATGCACTTTTCACATGTCAATATATATTAACATTAGATGTGTTAAAATGGGCGACTTGGATGGATTTCTATTCAATAATAAGTATAATTGGATTAACCCATTTATACCTATTTAATAAATGTATATGGGTATACTCAATTACCAATTTATGACTCATTTGAAATTCTATTTATTATTATTTTTAGTTTTTGCATGTCGTTTGACGAGAGAGAACGATATTTTATTGTTATTAGATTCGTAGGAAATTCAAATTTATCTTCTTAATACTTATTAAAAATTTAGTTTAAATGTATATAAATTGGTGAGTCGAGTCAATCCACTATCCACCAATTAAATGGATTTAATTAGGTACTCACATAGACCTATTTAAAGTTAATGAGCGGATTTGGGCGGGTTATTAGAAGGCGGATTTGGAAGAGTTAATATAATTGAGTTGTGATTGACACTTCTAATTAACATGTGTATACGAAATTACGAATTATGCATATCTATTTATTGGACAAACTACATACAATCTTGGACTTGAAGTTATGTGGTGTTTTTTTTCACTCTTTTTTAAATCTGATTTTAGAACACCGAATAGATCAATCCAAATCATAAAAAGGATAAAAGAAAGAATGAGGGGATGGCTGGTGAGGGATTAGTGGTGTCCGGATCTATGCTTTGAAGAATGACCCATGGCGGGCGGCTGCTGGTGATAGACGAAAATAATTTTTGAAAAAACAAAAACACAAAAACAATTTTTTTTGTCTGCAGAAGGTTGAAAACCTTTAGTTCCTAATAGGGTGGGATCTAATCAACAGCCCTTTGGGCTATTAGCCACCATTAAAGACTTTAAATTATGATGGGATGGAAGGTTAAGGATTCAAACTTTGCCTCCCATCATAATGCCACTATATGTAGGTTATCCAAAATCCATATGGTATATAGTGCACTTGTTTGATCTGTTAATGGTTTAGTCTCCATCATCAAATTTCTAAGTAATCCAGTTGGACCTCCACTCCCCCTAAAATAAGCTAGAACAGGAGTCAAAATACGAGTAGAATAAATGTTATCGATTGACAAAAAAAAAAAAAAAAAGGGTGCGAACTAATCGACATATCCAATCCATGTTGTGGACTACAAAGCCCGGTAGACCAACAATCACAAGACTGTCATAATGGTCGGAATTGACCCATTGAAAAAATTGGGTGACCAAAGAATCCAGAAAACAAATTTCTAATACTCCTCTCCATCTGACCGATTATTAGTTTCATGTTTTCACTTTTTTGATAAGTCAAAAGAAGATCTAAAATCAAAATAAAGTAGGAGAATTTGTTGCCCTCTAGATTTGCCATTTGAAAAGTACCTTCTCTAATTGTGAATGCACATTTATGAAATCAAATATCTTAAATTTGAAGGCTACTTGTTTAAATTCATCTGATGTTATCTTAAATTTTTGCATATTGATTACATGTTTGCATGAAGAAGTTGAATTCTCGAAAAAATGACTCTAATATTAGGATAAATATCTTTGTGATGAACGGTGCACTTTTTACATATCAATGTATATTGACATATATGTGTGCAAAAATCCCAGTTTAGTTCACCAATGAGTTTTCCAATATGTCTTAACTTTGTAACATATTAATGAAAGTCTGCTTCTGGGGGGGAGGGTTGGGTTGGGTGGTACGGGGGGAGGGAGTGTAAGCAAGAGGTCTCGGGTTCGAGTCCTCCCGCTTACAAAAAAAAAAAAAAAAAGAGTCTGCTTCCTATTACTTGGTATGTAGATTCTATTATCTAATTCTATAAATAGAGTTCAAAGAATCTTATTCAATAGTGTGCCCTTAATGAAACAATATCCTCACTCCGTCGAGCTAAAACTTGAAAGCCTTGTGAGCCAAGTTGATTCTTGGCACTTCCACTTCTTCTAATGATGCAATTTTCAGATAAAACCAGAGAGAGAGGAAACAGTGGACAAATTGCAACAAGTGAACAAATTTAAGTCAAGATAATCAGTACAATAACACACAATTGAAAATAGGATTCTACAACAAATATAAGCTTAATTGACACTTAATTGACATTAAGGCTACAAGGGAAGCAAGCCTGTTTGGTCAAAACTCATTTCGAACTCAAAGTTGCTTGAGTCGAGTCGATTTTGAGCTCGCTTAACAACTCAGGTTATTGGCTCATTGAGTCGATTTGATTTTATGTATTTTTACTTTTTTTTTCTTTATTTCTAGTGAAATTATATGTATGTTCCCTATATTTTTATCATTTATTAGAGAGAGATTTTATCAATTTTTAAAATTTAAAAAATTATAATTTATGTTTATTTGAATTAAATAAAGCTCAAATTTGAGCCTGACTCAAATCGAATTTTGTACTAAAAGGTTGATCGAGTTTGAACTCGAATTCGAGCATGGTAAAATAAAGTCAAACTCTGCACAATTAAGTCGAAATTCAATTCGACTCAATTCATTTACAATCCTAATTCACAACCAATAAAAAAAACAGTCAAGAACGTATTCAAGAACTTTTACCTCCATATTAATGAAAGTCTACTTCCTCTTACTTGCTTCCTCTTACTTGATATGTTGATTATATTATCTAATTTTATAAATAGAATTAAAAGAATCTTATTCAATAGTGTGCCCTTAATGAAACAATATCCTAACTCCGTCGAGCTAAAACTTCAAAGCCTTGTGAGCCAGGTTGATTCTTGGCACTTCCACATCTTCTAATGATGCAATTTTCAGGGAAAAACCAGACAGAGAGGAAATGGTGGGCAAATTTAATAGACACTAAAGTGTTGGTTAGACTTTCGGACTTGGATGATGTATGCCCACAGGTAAGCAAATTCTGTTTCTTTTATAACATATAGTTATCATATCGGGTGCTTAATTTTCCAAAAGTATTTTTTTTTTTGTGAGCTCTATTACTCCTAAAGAAATTATGACAAGCTTGCGAAATATAAAATTTCAAAGTGAAAAATGAAACAATGACGACAACTGCAACATCAAATGTTAGAGAAGAAACTAAATAGTTTGACAAACAATGAATAATTTCTTTAATATACCAGCTAAACTAAATAGCTTACCAGCTTTTGTTGTAGATCCAAATTAACTTGCAACTACAGTTGAAGAAAAAGCTATTGATTTCAGCTCATTGCAGTCAATACTTTTTTGTCCTTTTTTTTTAATAATTCAGTTATTTTCCTTTTTGAAAAGAACACTTGCGTAGAAAATGAGAATTATGAACATTTTTTTAGGGCAAATTACACTTTACCCCCATGTGATTTAGTGTTTTTATATATAATTCCCCTATAGTTTTAAAAGCTATCATAACCTTCTCATGATTTGGATTAAAATGTCGAAGTAACGAAATTTGCAATCCATAATGAAGTCACCTAAAATGTCAAAAATATCCCTATATGAAATTAAAAATTATTTATTAACCACAGGGAGGGTTATGTGTATATTTTGAAAATCATAAGGAAATTTTATGGTAAAGTATTAAATTATAAGAGAGTTATATGATAAAATATAAACCCATACAGGGTTAGTGTGTCATGTATATTATGTTTATATATTTTAATCACTTCAGCCATTTTAATTTTTAAATAAGGGTAATTTCAACATTTTAATAGGTTTCGTCACTAATGATAATTTCCGTTAGTTTGACACTTAAATCCAAATCATGAGGAGGTTATATATAGCTTTTGAAACCATAGGGGGTTATGTACAAAAACACTAAATCATAGGGGGTAAAATGTAATTTGCCAAAAAAAGAAAAAAAAAAAGATAATAGAGTTTCTTGCCAGTCAAAAACCAATCATTTTGTGGCAGTACCTTCGTACATTGTCCCTATTTTCCAAGCCCCAATTCAGCAAATTCATACATGTTTGAAAAGAATTAGCACACAACGATAACTAAATTCAGCAAAACGAAATTACACAAAATACGCCAACAGCAAATTATCTGAATAACCTTTATGCTGCCGTGCAGATTGATAAAACAGTGTACATTGTACGAATCTCATTCATTGTTTCCACCATATCTTGACAAGAAAAGAGTCATCGATCCTTTCCAATTTTTACCTCCATCTTCTACAAAAGTATCAAAGAAAGTCAGACCACACAGGTGACCAATTACAATCTCAAGAGGAAAAACTACCGTAGCACTCCCTGATGATATCATTAAGAAAAAATAGAGCAATAATTAGTTGTTTGTTCATCAATTTCAATGTGCTCGTGCATGCATTACAGGCAACTGAAGTACAAAAAAATTACCCGATATTGCACCAACTGATGCCCTTCAGTCTATATGATGATCTTTAGATTCTCATTTCCATAATATTTCTGTGCTTCTTCAATTTCCCGTATTGAAGATTTGACACCATCTCCGCAACGCGCCACCTGAATTGTTTCAAGAGTAGATATACGCCCTAAACAAGAAGGCATCATTTCCAAATTATAAATTCCGTGGAGTTTTAGTTGCTGAAGGCACGGGAAGTAATCATCACTGTCAGGGTCTGTCTCCGTCCACTCAACAATCTTTGCGAATTCCAAAGTCAAGACCCTGAGTTTGGGGAATCCTCCTTCCATCAGCTCCCATTTTTGGCCCTCCATTGACCGCCATCTTAATTTTAGGACTTCAAGATTCGGTAGTTGTTCAATCAATGACATTTTTCTAACCGGGAAGACGCAGATTGAAAAGACACAACTTCTTCAAATTCATGGGAAAAGAAAGGTCAACATGTTCCTGCGAACCTGAGAGACTGTAGCCAGCTAAGACGAGTGATTCTAGGCATTCTAGTCGACTCATGTTGCAGCATACTATATTTTGTCCCCCCAGATTGAAAATTTTAAGTCGGCGAACGTTGGGAATCCTTCTCAATATGTTCTCTCCTTCTTGATCATAAGAAAGATACAGATTGGAGAGTGTGTCTAAATTGGGTAAAGAGGAGAGGTTTTCAAGAACGTTGTCATTGCAAGAGAAACGAATAACAACGCGACGCCTTACACATACTTGCCTCAACTTCTTCATGTTCCAGATGCTATCTGGCAATGAAACCAGCCCACCAGAATATACACAAAAGGTTTCCAAATGTGAGAGCTTGGCTATAGATGGTGGAATGAATTTCATGGTCCGACCTGTAAGGGCTAAGTACCTCAAACAAAGAAGTGATTCGACTTCAGTTGGAAGCTCCTCCAGTCTTAGGTTGATGTCTAAATTCAAAACTTTAAGATGTTTGTAGATGCCAAAAAGGAAGGAGATATTAAGCAAGTCAAACTCATATCCTGGAGTAGCATTGCAGAGCAGCAGAGTATCTAAATGTGGACAAAATAGCTTTGACTTTATAAAATCTTCTCCACTGGAGCAAATGGGCAATCGTGGTAGGTTGGGAGGCTCATTAAAATTAGAAAGCTCATCATATCCTTGCAGGACCTGAAGAAATTTCTTTTCTTTCGCCTCGCCCTTACAGAACTCAAATATCAAATCGTGAATGTAACAAGTTTTGACTCCACCAATGGATCTGTTTTCACTTACCATAACTAAGTTTCGGCCAATTAGGTCCATCAGATATTCTTCTGCAATGTCCTCTGATCTCTCTCCTTCAATTTTTTCCACAAACCCTTCTGCAATCCATAGACGCATCAAATTCTTGGCACCAATTTTTTCATCTTCTCGAAATGCAGCAAAATACAGCAAGCATTCCTTCAAGTGATATGGTAAATGCTCATAACTGAGCTCCAACGACTTCTTGCACTGGCCTGCACCAGACACCATGGTCGAAGTTAAACTCTCAGCAAATTCTTCCCAAACCAAAATATCATGCTCTGTAGTTGCTAGGGCTCCAGCTACAACAATTAGTGCAAGTGGCAATCCCATGCATTTTTTGGCAATCTCCATTCCCAATCCATGCAATGCTTGAGGACAATCTTCTTTTCCAAAAACCTTCTTATGCAGTAATTCAAAACTTTCTTTCTCACTGAGTGGGCGAAGATTGTGAGGTTCCCCACCATATTGAACCTGTGAAGCCACATTAGAAAATCGACTCGTAAAAAGGATCCTACTTCTCTTCTTATCATCAGGAAATGAAATTCTCAGCTCATTCCATACCTTAATGTCCCAGACATCATCAAAAACAACTAGATACCTCTTCATCTTCAGCCTTTGATAGAGCTTTTGAAGCAATTCATGTTCATTCAACTTTTTAAGCTCTTCATCCATGCTAGATTGTTTTCCATTAGAGCACAAAATTTGTATTAACAAGCTTTTCATGTCAAATTCTTGAGAAACAGTGCACCAAAGACGAATCTGGAAGTTAAATATAATTGAACTATCATTGTAAACTTTTTCGGCTAAAGTTGTTTTACCAAGCCCAGCCATTCCCACAATGGGAACAATTTCCACCTGTTCTGGTCCACTTAAAAGTCGTTCAATTACTTTTTCTGCCTCATCATCAAGACCAACCACGACTTCATGAGCTATTGGCATTTTAACTTTTGATAGCATGTGACTGGAAGCCTTGCTAACTTCTGGTACTCTTAAGCTATGAAAGGAGGGAAGACTTTCAATAATGCTTGAGCCACTGATCTGATCCTTAAAATGCTTGATATGGATGTTGGTATTAGCCAGCATATCATAACAGTCACAAGCCTCTGTGGATTCTAAGAAGCTAACTTCTCCTTCTTTCACTCTGTTTAGAGAAGGTGAGCAAATTATAATGCCTGCCTCAGTAAGAAGAGCACCAATTTTTTCGTTTTGTTCATCCATCTTCTCCTGCTGCTCCCTTAAAATGCTTCTCAAGAACCTCAGTCCTGCATAGAGTATTCCCATTTCATCTTTCGTAGAATCCATAAAGCTAGAGCTGCAGCACAACAGCTCCCAGAGACAACTAATCAGAGAATCATTGAAGTTGTTCAATATCTGCTTATCCATCATTCTATTATGCAATGATTTTGAGGATCTTGTAGCTCTAAGAACTTCCATATAAATCTCATAGACTTGAAAATCAACAGCTGTGATTTTCTGTTGTTGCTCATATATCATGGAGCAGAACTCAGGATTGTGCCGTTCCTCATCATCCCAAAAAGAACACATGTAACAGAGGCGTGCTGCGTTCAAAGCCATCACTTCAAAGTGAGCCAATAGCAAGGCAGGAATATCTGCAGTTCCTCGCAATTTGGCAAAGGGAACGAAGCTTTTCAAGAATGTTAGCTTTGCTTCAAGGGCTTGGAATTGAGTAATAACTTGGGGGTCCATATCAAAAATAGACAAATTGCTAGTTGTTAAATCCGCTAGATTTTGTAGAATGAGGTCAATAAATTCCATTAGTTCATCAACTGGCATGCAAGAATTTGATTCTAGTGATCTGCTGCTTGCCAAATTAAAGTAAACTTGGATGATTTCTTGCTTAAATGATTTGATTTGTTTCAAAAATTTGGGGAACACTTCATTGCCAACATAAAGTATGTCACGTGCATCAGATTTCAACATAAGGAAAAGAGAGTGAATGTCCTCCTCATATTTGTGAAAGGTATCCTCAATGCAAGATAAGAAAGATGGAAGACTCACCTTCTTCACTACATTATCAGATTCCAAGTACAAATCATTGCAGTGGCTCCACTTTCTTGCACTCATAACAAATGTTTTGAGAAATTTTATATCCAGGTACGCAGCTCTAATTTTGGGTATTCGGTACATGACAGGGGGGTTGTCCACAAGCGACTGTAGATCAAGGAAGACACGATCGATGCTGCAAGTGGAGGCCATGTCCATCTCTTATGCAGGGATTTTTCCTCAGTTTCACTCTCAAATTTTAAGGGAGAAACAGATCTCGCCGACTGCAGAGCAAGCAAGTATTTCTTTCCTGAAATTTCCTTTTTCCGGTGGGATGGTGAAGAAGAGAAATGAGATAATAAATTATTCAACAGAAAAAACGGAGCAAGATCAAGAAAGAACAGATGAATCAAAGTTAGCGAGAGAGCGGTCAAATAATCTGGAAATGATCATGGTTTGAATAAAGTAAAGGAATTTTATTGACTACTACTGCACAGTTTTTTGGAGTTTTTTTTTTGGGCTATTTATCCTCACAAGGCGTTCAGTACTTGTGAACCTTTGACAAGTAGTGTATTCCATTCCCACACAATGGGGTCACTGTTTTTGCAATAATTCCAATTCTTATCGACATTCGACAATCCATAGTTTAATATGTTAAACTTATAACTAGGCAGCCGTGTTTTGATAGCAGATGTGGAGCAAGAGTTGAGTCTTTTAATTCATCCATGCTTAAAATATGACAATTTTGTCAATTACAGTTAAGCTATTATCTTATTTAGTGTGGGTATATTAGGAAGAGCCAAAAAATAATGAAACATGGATGGGAAGAAAATTCAGCTAATCCTCAGACAGTGTAAGAAGCAATTTAGCTAAAGATGTAATAGGACTCGTCCCTTCCATTAGAGCCCCAAAAAAAATATATATATATATATATATATATATATTTATTTATTTATTTATTTATTTATATTTATATTTATATAGTGTCAGGACCAAAATGTCAAGACCAAAACCTAAAATCACTTTAGTGACTAAGATATATAAATATAGGATAAATACATTTTTGCATCTCGTGGATTAGTTCTTTCTAACATAACTCTCGTATGCTCCGAAAAGCTACACATAATCTCCGTGATTAATAAATATTTTGTCTTGACATTAGGGTATTCTTCACATTTCGTTTGGCTTTACTATCAAGGACTATTTTTTATTACTTTGATACTTTAGTCCAAAATATGAAAAAAAAAAATTTATAATATTTAAAATTATAGAAGATTTACATGAACAAGTGCTGAACCAAATGAAGCTATATAAATTTAACCAAGATTTGTGCCTTTCATTAAGTAAGACTTTCTTACATGTTGGCCTAGTTACCATAGTCCAAGAGAGAAAAAGAACAGAAAGGGGCCAAAAAGGAAAAAGGAACTTTAACTTTCAATTGATAGTTTCTTTCAAAATTCAAGTATTGTTGCTTAATAATTTTTACACCCTATGATTACAAACAACATAATTTTATGAAATAAAAAATTTTTATCTTTAATTGCTAAGAAAATTGTAAAATGACTTTATTATATATTTCAGCTTAATGGATTCTTTGAGTTGAATGAAAATAATTACATCTTAACAAAGTCCTCAAACCTTGATATATGAACAAGCAAAACTATAAAATGTTAATCAATTAACCACAAAAATCCTTAGTAAGCTCCATTTTTTCACCCTCCCTCGTAAGATTGCTTGGTAAGCAATCAAGCACCCTTTTGAATGATTTCCACTTTGCATGATAGTTTGCACTTTGTAATTACTAATTACTATGAAATTGCACCTTAAAATTTATTTTGGATTTTTTGCACCTAAGGTTAATCATTCATCCAAAATTACTGTGGCTTCACAAAATATTAATGTCATTGCAGGAGCAATATGCACCAATACACTAGTTTCTGAACTGTAAAAGTGGGATTGCTTCTTCAGAATATCCCCGAAAAAAAAAAAAATAGATAGTGAATACATTTGAGTGTTAGAGCTCTTTCACTTGCAATATGACTTGTTGGGGTGAATATGAGACAGTTTGATGACTTCAGGTTTTGAGGTGTGCACAATAAAAATTAAATGATGGATTTTGTCCTCTGCGGTGGAATTAGTTAAAAAGTTAAAATTATTCATATTGAAAGCCTAAAATGATTTTATCAACTAAAGTTGAAACTCTAAAACTTAGAAGTCCTGAAATCTAATCCTCCTTCCTCCTCTCAGCTTTTGAAAAAAAAATTCTACTTCTTCCTTGTTTAAAAAAAATTTTAAAAATATATATATGGTAAATTACACTTTTGTACCTGGTGGATTTTTTTTTTAAAACATAACCCACCTACACCTTGAAAAGTTATACATAACCATCGGGCCACTTTACCATCCTCTGTATTAGATCTCCATTGATTCAAGAAGATCTCTATAGGTTGGCTTAATTTTCTTGACTAATTTTATGTCACATGAATTTAATCAAAGGTTGATCTACTAAAGGGATAAAAAAATTTTGGGCAAATTATACTTTACCCCCTATGGTTAAGTATTTGTTTACATAATCCCCATATGGTTTCAAAAACTATACATAACCCTCTCATGGTTTGAATTAAAATGTCAAAGTGACATAATTTACAATCCATAATGGAGTCAACTAAAATAGTAAAATGTCAAAAATACCCATATGTAAGTTAAAAATTATTTATTAATCACAGGGGGATTATGTATATATATTGAAAACTATAAGGGGGTTATATGGTAAAATATTAAACTATAAGAGGGTCATCTAGTAAAATTTAAAACCACACGGGGTTAGAGTGTCATACATATTATATTTATATATTTTAATTACTTTAGCCATTTTTGTTTTAAATAAGGATAATTTCGACATTTTCATAGGTTCCATTATGGATGATTATTTCCATCACTTTAATACTTTAATGCAAATTATGAGGGGTTATATATAGCTTTTAAAGCTATATGTGAAAATTAGCCATACTATAGGGTGTAAAGTGTAATTTTTCCTTTTTTTATTATTAAATTCTAAAGAAGCCATCTTTAGTGTAGGACCCGTTAATTGGTTTCAAGCATGTATGAGGCATCATTTCTGCCGTTTTACAGTCTAAATAACAGGACCCTTAAGAGTTTAGATATTCAGAAGTACACCAGATAAACATCTTATTCAAACAGAAGCAGAAGTACTGTTGGCTTGTCCTGCCAAAAGACCAGCCAGCAATTTGTTTACATTACCAGATTTCTAGCCATTACAACCTCTATATTAAGTTCTTCACCTCGTATAAGATAACTGTAAAATGAATCAACCCTCAACAGAATACTGTCACTTAGGTTGCAGTTTATTGGAAGTTTGGAACAGCTACAATTCACTCCGGCCCCAACAACAGTGAAAATGCAATATTAGATAGATAGCTACACGAATAATTAGCATAACAAAGGCAATATTCATGTAGCCTTCCATGTTGACAGAGGTGGAGTATCAGAGGTTTTCCAAGTATTAAGGCCGGGGCCATGACTATCACCCTTGACTCCAGCTGAAGCAGTGGATTCCAGTTCAGCCATATCTTCCGCAGACAGTTTTACAGATAAAGCTCCTATATTCTCATTGAGGTTTTCGATCTTGGTAGTGCCAGCTATGGGACAAACATCGTTTCCCTGATGATGCACCCAGGCCAATGCTAGCTGTGATGGGTACACCCCTCTTTGAAGCAATGACATTGACACGCTCGTACATGTTCTTGTTATGCTACAATCATGCAACAAAAGTAGAAATTAGTAAAATTCCTAGGTTATAGAATTCCTATCTATTCTTGCAAGTGAAAATTACTAGTTAAATGAAGTTGATTATCTTAGCTAAGTCATGGCTAATTATCTAATATACGTGATACTTGCTTTCACCGATGTACCAATGATAGCTATAGCTATCTCTCATCTATGTTTTGTGATGAAAAAACTAGCTATAAACTCATTAAATTCTATAAAATTATTTGGTTAAAGTTACAAAGGTGATTCCCTACTTTCACGAGAATACACTCTGAGTTCAACACTTCCATGAACTAGTATTGGATCACAATTTTCATTGATGAAATGGCACCTTTAAATAATCACAATTAATAGTGCCAACTTAATCATCATTATAATAACAAAAGTGCTAAATAACTTGAATAAGGCATAATTCAAATAACCATGAAAACATCACATAACAAGCATAGATAGTTCATCCATATTCCTAGGATATAAAAACAAGATCCAAACTTGTATTTTAACCAAATATTAGAATCAATATAAGAAATAAAGTGTTTGGAAAGAAGTCACCCTTATCACTTGAGCTCCTAACTATCCAATTTTGATCCTTAATCTTCATCCTTGCTTAGCATGATACAAGACGGAATAATCTACCCTAAACTATACTAACTAATGAACTAAGAAGTTTTAGTAAAGACCACACTTTTGTGGTGGTTTCTCTAGGCTCCAAAGTTACAAGAAATGTTCACAAAAGACCCTATTTATAGAAGATTAAAGCTCCCACACAACTTGTTAAATTTGTTCCAAATTGCTCCTTGAAATCATCAAAAGTTCTTTTTGAAATCTTCAAGATTTCTTAAGCAACACAGTCAAAATATGATCAGAAAAATGGTCTAAAAGGCTATGTGAAAAAGTTGTAAGTTACATATCAACTTGCACAGCCACAATATGAATACGCAGCTGAGGTCACATTTTGATCTGTGTTTTTTCTACAGCAGGTTTGCACTTTTTTGATGAATCTTGAAAATTGTCCTATTTTTGCACTAAGTTTAACTACAAATTTCTCAATGATGGAAGCTGAACTAACTCTTGTACAAAACATAAAATTTGTAATCATTTGAGTTAGCTTTACAGTGCATTAAGAATCATATCATTTGGAACTCTGGAGTCTAAGAAATGACAAAAATAACCCTAACTAGTTAGCCGTCTTTTCCAGATCTTGGCAGCAGAAATGCATCTTTGTATTTTGACATTTTGACCCTTGAAATGAGTGAATTCGACTTTGATGTCTAATAAGAAATATAGCCCTGGATCTTATATTTACAATGCTTCAAGAATCATCTCAATTCATTATTTATAGTTCAAGTTATAGTCGAAATACCACAATGTGTTAGAGCTGCTAATCTTTCCTTTTTGGCCACTTAATTGCATTTCATCATTTGAATATTTTGAACTTCATGTCATCTCAAATCACTTCAAATAATCAAGAATCATGCAAATATCTTTTCACTTTACTCCATTTGATGATTGCATTATTAAATCCTACAAGAACATGAAGTTTTTACCACTTTAATCCATAGAAATATAACTTTTCTTACTTAAACCATAAAATGCTAAATTTACTAGAAATCTACTTATTTACCTATAAAAATTATTAAAACACACCAAAACCTAAGTAATAAAATACATTAAAAATATCCAAATAAACATTTCTCATTAGCCTATGGGTGTGAGGATCCAAAAATAACTCAAAATTAAGAATGACAATGGGACAGTTTTGGGACGGAGGAGGGATCCCCGACGCCTGTCCTGTTGTCATATAACTCCCCCTGCCCCACCTAGCTTTGCTCGCCCTACGGGCGTCCATAGGGGCACCTTTATTATTATTATTTTCTCTTAACACATTACAACATAACTCAGCCATTGTTCCACGCTTGATAAAGAAATATGACAAGAAGTTGCAAAAACTTGATTCACCACAAGCTTTAGCCATTTAGTCAAAGATTTGCCAACCTGAATTGCAAGTATCATAATAAAAATAGAAAATAGGAAATTAACATACTAACCACAAATTGAACTATAGGTTCAAAATATAATTGCATTACACCTTTATAGTGAATTTATCCCCTGTAAGTTTAATGTCCCCTGTAAATTCAAATAGCAAGTATCATCATAAAAGTAGAAGACAGGAAATTAACATACTAACCAAAAATTGAACTATAGGTTAAAAATATAATTGCATCAGACCTTTATAGTGCACTAGTAATGAAGCACGTGCTTTGCATGTGAACATGATGCTTTTAGATTTTTTTTCTTTAAAATTTTTAGAAAATCAATTATTTTGAAGGAATAAATGTAATCGAGAAAAAAAATGTGACATTTAATATTTATATTATTTTATACATTTTTATGAATTTAGTTTGTCCTAACCAATACAAATGCACAAGCAATAAATCATTCTTTGTTCCAAGAGCACTTTTATTTTGTAACAGTATCAATATTTTTGTCTTTTGGTCAAATTTAGATGACTGAATTTTTTTTATGACATTTGACCTAAATTTTCTTTTTTATGCCGTTTGAGTTTAAATTTTTTAATTTTTTTGAATAATTTGTTGCTCCAGTTTAAGTCATTTTATGAATTGTTTATTAGTTTTAGTGAGATTTTCTAATTATTATTATTTTTTGCTAACGGTGTATTGTAAAATGATCTATATAGCTATTGTAATTATAATAGTATTTAAATACATTGAAATTTCATTGTTCGAATTTGAATAGCTTAGATTTGAAAAGAAATGTTTTGATTTGGTGAAACTTATTTGTATTTCTCACTGACAACATGCTTTATGATTATAGAGTTTATATAATTAAAAATTGATGTTAATATTATTTATTATATAATAGTCAAACTGAATTTAGATATATTTTTATTCACCTTTGAAGTATTCCTTGAAATTGATAATTTTATAAAAAAAATATTTTTTTGGCTTAATTCACCATAACTCAAAGGGATGCTTCACCTTTGTAATTATTATTATGATTGGCATTGATGAATACAATATTCATTAATTGTAGTTTAATAATGTTAGTTGTTGCAAGAATATGATTGATAACGTTCCTTAAATTTAATCTTTATTGCAATTTAAATAAATAAATTCCCAACATAAAACTCTTTGCCTGCCTTGGTACTCCATTTCTTATTATATTTTGTATTAATGTTTATCACTCAATACTAATAAGGGAAAACACCTCGAGAGAGTTCACCAAAGAGTCTAATATATAAGTCAGGAGCTCAACTCTAACCCAAAAGTTTAAGACATTAGGTCACGGGCCTTTACTTATATATTAACCACTCTTTCTCTATCTTTCGGTCCAATGTGGGACATAACCCTTTACTCATGAATCTAACAAATCTCCTCCTTCATGAATAACCCACACATTAAATCCAAATTTACAAATCCTACTTCGAGTCCATTTTAATACTCAACGCAAGCCTACTTTATCATCTAAGGTCACCTCTTCTCCCAAATATGGACCCACTCTTTTTCAAGATCCAAACTGCATTCTGGACCCCTGCCAACCTTTGACTCCTTAGTCTAACACCAACAGGACCCCTTGCCAAACCCATGGCGCACCTAATCCAACACCAGCCAAACTCTTTTGCACTTTGGCACTTCGGCACTTCGATCCACCATCAAGAAGAGAATTTTCATCGGTCCAACTTCTAAAAGAATCCACTTACCCATAAGTATAGCCAGTCTCACAACCTGCCTAATCTTGCAACCTGAAACTCTGATACCAATTTAATAGGGGGAAACACCTCGAGAGATTCCACCAAAGAACCCAATATATAAGTCAGGAACTTAACTCGAACCCAAAAACTTAAACCATAGGTCTCGGGCCCTTACTTATATATTAACCGCTCTATCTTTATCTTTCGGACCAATGTGAGATATAACCCTTTATTCATGAACCTAACAAATACTAATATACGCATATTAAATAGGTGCTCTGAAGACTTAATTTACTTGTATCCATAAAATAAAAGGACTTGTGATACTTTTTAAAAGACTCATAGTATCAATTTATTATATTTTGTTTTATGTTTGAAGTACTCTCTAAACTTGGATTTTGTAAAAAAAAAATTATTCTTCTTTCTTTTAGTAAATAAAAAAAAATAAGGAATATTTCATTTTTGTAACTGCTAGCATGCTTGATATTATTTATTAATGATGAAATGCAATGCAATTTGTCCATTTATTAGAGAAGAGTGTAATTTTGGCATCACAAAAACTAATATCATTTTTTGCTTATATTATTAATAACTAAGATTCAACATATTTTTTTATAATTTATAAATAAAATTTGTTCATCTTTTTTCGATTTCATTCACTATAACTCAAGGGAATGTTTTTCATAATTGTTGGCATAATTGATATTAATTATTGACAGAATGTAATGAATTGGTTGTTCTTTTTTTGGTTTAATTCACCAGAATCAAGAACATTAAAGACTCATCATACTTTTTATATAATAATAGATTTATCCCATGTAAGTTCAAAAAGCGAGTATCGTAATTAAAGTAGAAAACAGGAAATTAACATGCTAACCACAAATTGAACTATTGGTTCAAGTTACAACTGCATCGCACCTTTATAGTGAAACTAGTTTTTTCAGCCTCACGCAATGCGTGAGGATGCCCTGAGTCTATGTTAATCAAGATCAAATGAAGGCAAGTGGATTAATGTAAAATGGTTATATATTTAATACATGATAGGTGTTAATAAATGTGGAGAATTTGACTTTAGGTAAATTGAATATTGTTGTTACTCGTTTACTCATATGATTTGTAATTTTCTCTTAGATAGTCAGTCTTTGGTTTAAGATCTTTGCGATGTACAAGTACATACAAATATCATAAATATGGTGACGCTGATCACTTTTAAAATTATGCATACACTATTTGTATCTAATCAAGAATGAAATAAGTTTAAACAAGATCAGCTAGGTGAGAGTGCGAAGACTTCACCTTGTAAAACCGCCAAATCCAGGTTTTGAATTGGAGAAAGAAACACATCCAATATGTTGCTTTTCGGATGGCTTTCTCTCAAGATTACATAGGCAAGAGAACTAAAACTCTAAGTGAAGAAAATACGAATAAAAGTATCTAAAGCTAAAGGTTAGGTAGTACATTACTTTTCTGAAATTTCTTATCAAGAATTAGTTCAAACATGTTCAATAAATCTTTTCTTGTTATACATAATAGTGATTAAGGCACACTCAGTTGTGTATATAACTAATTAGAATAAAAATATTTGTAATAATAATTCTCTTATAAAAGTGAAGTATTATAGGGGAAACAAGTGCATGGGCTTAATTTGGGTGATGTTAATAAAGAAAAATTGAAGAAATGTGTGTCAAATATAGTAGATAAACATGGAGAAATTGAACGTAAAAATATGGGAAGATTCGAAGTTATAGTAAAATTGTTGTTTTATTATTTTGTTACAGAATAAATCCATTTTATCCTTTATAATAAAGGCAAAAAAAATAAAAAGAAGAAGAAAGAACTAACAATGCAACACCGTAACGGGCATCAAGCTTTATGTATGGCACATATATGCATCCTAAAAAATGCCACTATACATGGGGTGTGAGAGAGGGTTCTTGGGAGATTAGAGATGGTATACAAGGGTTGGGCTTGGGTTCAAGTTGTATTCTTGTATAGGGTTTTCCTCTCATAATAAAGAATAGGTTTCTCTCCGTGGATGTAGGCTCAATGGTGGAGCCGAACCACGTTAAATATTGTGTGTCGTTTATCTTTCATGCTTGTGGCTTGTTTCTCATTCAATTGTTATGCATTTGATATCTCAATAGTTGTTTATTTTGCATTTGGATCCTAACATATACGCATATTAAATAGGTGCTCTGAAGACTTAATTTACTTGTATCCATAAAATAAAAGGACTTGTGATACTTTTTAAAAGACTCATAGTATCAATTTATTATATTTTGTTTTATGTTTGAAGTACTCTCTAAACTTGGATTTTGTAAAAAAAAATTATTCTTCTTTCTTTTAGTAAATAAAAAATATAAGGAATATTTCATTTTTGTAACTGCTAGCATGTTTGATATTATTTATTAATGATGAAATGCAATGCAATTTGTCCATTTATTAGAGAAGAGTGTAATTTTGGCATCACAAAAACTAATATCATTTTTTGCTTATATTATTAATAACTAAGATTCAATATATTTTTTTTATAATTTATAAATAAAATTTGTTCATCTTTTTTCGATTTCATTCACTATAACTCAAGGGAATGTTTTTCATAATTGTTGGCATAATTGATATTAATTATTGACAGAATGTAATGAATTGGTTGTTCTTTTTTTGGTTTAATTCACCAGAATCAAGAACATTAAAGACTCATCATACTTTTTATATCATAATAGATTTATCCCATGTAAGTTCAAAAAGCGAGTATCGTAATTAAAGTAGAAAACAGGAAATTAACATGCTAACCACAAATTGAACTATTGGTTCAAGTTACAACTGCATCGCACCTTTATAGTGAAACTAGTTTTTTCAGCCTCACGCAATGCGTGAGGATGCCTTGAGTCTATGTTAATCAAGATCAAATGAAGGCAAGTGGATTAATGTAAAATGGTTATATATTTAATACATGATAGGTGTTAATAAATGTGGAGAATTTGACTTTAGGTAAATTGAATATTGTTGTTACTCGTTTACTCATATGATTTGTAATTTTCTCTTAGATAGTCAGTCTTTGGCTTAAGATCTTTGCGATGTACAAGTACATACAAATATCATAAATATGGTGACGCTGATCACTTTTAAAATTATGCATACACTATTTGTATCTAATCAAGAATGAAATAAGTTTAAACAAGATCAGCTAGGTGAGAGTGTGAAGACTTCACCTTGTAAAACCGCCAAATCCAGGTTTTGAATTGGAGAAAGAAACACATCCAATATGTTGCTTTTCGGATGGCTTTCTCTCAAGATTACATAGGCAAGAGAGCTAAAACTCTAAGTGAAGAAAATACGAATAAAAGTATCTAAAGCTAAAGGTTAGGTAGTACATTATTTTTCTGAAATTTCTTATCAAGAATTAGTTCAAACATGTTCAATAAATCTTTTCTTGTTATACATAATAGTGATTAAGGCACACTCAGATGTGTATATAACTAATTAGAATAAAAATATTTGTAATAATAATTCTCTTATAAAAGTGAAGTATTATAGGGAAAACAAGTGCACGGGCTTAATTTGGGTGATGTTAATAAAGAAAAATTGAAGAAATGTGTGTCAAATATAGTAGATAAACATGGAGAAATTGAACGTAAAAATATGGGAAGATTCGAAGTTATAGTAAAATTGTTGTTTTATTATTTTGTTACAGAATAAATCCATTTTATCCTTTATAATAAAGGCAAAAAAAATAAAAAGAAGAAGAAAGAACTAACAATGCAACACCGTAACGGGCATCAAGCTTTATGTATAGCACATATATGCATCCTAAAAAATGCCACTGGAGGGAGAGGGGAAAGAATTCTAGCGTCTAAACTCTGGAGCAAGAGGGCAAGCCCAAACAAATGCCTATGAAATGCCACTGGAATTGTGGAAATTTACAGCATAACCAGTCTATCTGCCTATGAAAACGCCACCGAAGTTGAAATAACCGGATAACCGGTCCATGAGCACTGTAGCAACTCCAACTCGCACTTTTAGTATAGTGAGGATTAACCCCTGTAAGTTGAAATAGTTGTGATGCCTAATAAGTGATTTTGCACAAAAATTATTTGGGCCAGCCCTTGAGTCCACAATTATATTATATCCATAACACTGTTGTACCTCATGATTACTGCAAAACTCAAAAACTCAGGACATGCACATGTTGCACCCTGTGATTACTCCACAAGACGTTAAACAGCTAAACCAAAACAAAAGTTCACGAAATATACATATAGAACCAAACTTGCACTCATGTGCTCTTCCAAGCTAAAACCTGAACAAAAGGCAACTCAATATCAAAGCGAACTTGCTCTTCTTCATGTGCACTTCCAGGTTGACAAAGGTGGAGTTTCAGAATTTTGCCAAGTGCTAATTTCAGGCCCGTATCTCTCACCCTTGACTCCAGCCGAAGCAATAGATTCAAGTTCCGCCATTTCCTCTGCCGACAGTTTTACAGACAAAGCTCCAATATTCTGATTGAGGTTCTCAATCTTGGTAGTGCCGGGTATGGGGCAAACATCTTTGCCTTGGTGATGGACCCAGGCCAAAGCTAGCTGTGATGGAGTACAACCCTTCCTTGAAGCAATGGCATTGACCTGCTGGTACAAGTTCTTGTTGTGCTCCAAATTCTCTGCTTGAAACCTTGGCATATACTGCATTGTACGAATTTCGAAATTTAAGCAACTGTAATCCCAGAAATTCAAAAGGGAAATGAAGACAATATGATTATCGATAGTATTGTTTGAGGTGTACAAAGTTCAGGGGAAAGAACAATCCAGTAAGGTGGTTTGGATATAAGAAACATCAATTGCAGAAGGTAGATCCTGAGATACATTTCCCATTAAAGAGGAAACTCAAATTAGAAATCCAATACATTTTCATACTATCTAGACAGTATTATCAAGTGAACTTGTGACCAACCAAACTCAGTTAGAGGATGTATAGAAAAGGGAAAAAAAAAAACAATTTGAGAGGACAATATATAACTTTTGTGCCTAAGACCAGACGATGACATTGCAATGCAAGTCCATTTCCCCTCAAAATTGTAAAGAGAATATTCCTAAAAAATGCCATTGTTTCTTCCTTTTTTTTTCATGTCTAGGATGTTCTTGCACCATAAAATAGAACACTCCTACTGCTTGTGATATTTGCCAACACTAGTGCTATCTTCAAATTCAAACTAAATACAGAGCTCACAATTACTATCCTGTCTGTGCAGAAGGTTCAGTTTCTAACAATGCCAAGAACTGCATTTAATGGAATCCAAGACTACAAGACTTGTCAGATAGAAAAAAGCTTGTTGCGTCGCTTTGTTGGATAGAAGTTAATTAAATTAGAAAGTTATAGAAAAGCTCAACCAAATTATTGGACATCAAATAGTGCAGCAACATGGAACAGATAGACAAGAATAGGGATATTGAGCAACGTTGCTGCTGAATGTGGTAAAATGGATGACTGAGGTTTTCATACTAACCATAAATATACTACACTAGATATTACTAATCTTTTTGGATACGCACAAACCTTTCGGAGGTCACCTTCAGCCAAATTCTCGATCAGCTTTGGACCTGATGAGAAGAAACCTCTTCCAAGTGGACTGTATGCAACAATCCCTATGCCAAGCTCTCTGAAAGATTATACCAAAAACTGAATTGAGAACTTCATATTTCTTCTAGACCATGTAGAAAATGCAGCAGAATATATGCAGTACCTGCAAGTGGGAATAATCTCTTCCTCGACATCTCTGGTCCACAATGACCACTCCAACTGTACAGCTGTTATTGGATGAACAGAATGTGCTCTTCTAATTGTTGAAGCTGAGGCCTCGGATAGACCTATATACTTAATTCTACCCTCTTCAACCAGTTTCTTAAGTTCTCCTATCTGGGAGAAACAGACAAGAACATTCCAAGCTGATTTATTATATTCCATACTAAGGTAAAGAATCAAAATTATACATCCACATACGAAAAGTAGCAATAGTTCAGTGCAGCAGCACAGCTTTCACAAAGTATACATCAAACTGAAAGCACTACTAAGGTAAAGAATGGGAATTATACATCCATAAACTAAAAGTAGCACTCGTTCAGTGCAGTGGCACAACTTTGACATAAGTACACATCGAACTGAAGGCACCATCTGATAAAAATTGCAACAAACTGTCAATAACACTTGTCTAGACAGCTGGTTATTTAACTCTATTGGACCATGCATAATATGATGTTCGGCCAATATATATATATATATATATATATATATTTTTTTTTAATATCTTCTAACAGGGAAAGGGTAGAATTTAAGAAGCAGAGAGGAAGGAAGGGGGATTAGAACCCAAAATTTCTAAATCTTGAGGCCTCAACCTGAGCCACTGGACCAAGGCCTTCTTGGCCAATATCATTTATATGACATTGTTGACTTCTTCTAAACAAAATAACGGCTGTACATATGAAAATTGGAAGCCATCAATTTATTTTATTCATACTACCTGTATTTTGAGTAATCGTACTGTAAGAAAATTTCTTCCTACTATTCAGGAAAAGTAAAATATTCTCTGCTGACTGCACTAAAAAGACCACACACAAATCGTTCTACAAAATGTTCGGAGCAACAACAAATGAGCATCATGTACTTAAGATATCAAATAATGAATGTCCATCTGCAATGCTTTTGGTACTGACTGAAAAGAAGTGATAAGGTGGATAAATAGCATATCTATACTGAATCGGATTGCCTCTCTCAAATGAAAGACAGAATGCACAGGTCCTCTGGTTCTAAAGGAAAGGTGTACAATCTATAGTATAATATCCAGCTGTATCTCTCTCAGGGCCTCAGCAGGGCTGTCAAGCTAATATAAGACAACTATTTTGGATGTTTGTAATTTTTGGGATGCCCCCTGCTATCAGCTTTATGATTGTGCAAATTAGCACAGACCATAAGGGCAACAAAAAATTTTTTCTGCAATTTTTGAAGCAATTGCAAAAGACATGGAACTCAATTATTCTCCTCAAATTTCGACTACTTTGATCAAACTTTCATTTCATCAAGAATGAGATGCAGCTTAAATTCAGGAAAGGAAACAAGGAGCAAACCGTGATTTCAATGGGCACATGTGTATCAATGCGATGCTGATAATAGAGATCAATGCAGTCCACACCAAGCCGCTTCAAGCTGGCCTCACACGCTGCTCTCACATAGGCTGGATCACCACATATATTGAAATTCCCATCCTCATAAGTCACTGCAAATTTTGTTGCTAGCTCCACTTTCTCCCTCATTCCTTCCATCAATGCCTAAAACCATCCCTTCATAACATCAATCATTGAGAACACACACATTATTCCATGTTATAGCAAGTTTATTTATGATCCATGCGTGGCATAATCTGTCTGAATTTTCCCATCCTTTTCATATTTAAGACTATGCTACTTCTTCCTATTGAATATAGCATGCAGAATGAAAATTATGTAATCCATGGACTTTAGTAGTCTGGTTCTCTTAAAGGAGCCAATCCCTTTTCTTTTTTTTTCTGTTCTTCTTTCTGTTTCTTCCAATACAAATTTACAGTCTACCTATCCATTGACAAGGTCTGATGCAAAACATGAACATATACTGACTAGTATAACTGAAACTTAATACAAAATTAGGAAGCTTATACTTAATCAAATTATTAAGCTGAAATAAATAGTGCCTTATCAGGATCCATTTGGATTCAAGGGAAGGAAAGGAAATGAAAATATCCTTATGAAAAAGAAATGAGACTGGAGAATTTGTCATGTTTGGATTAGAACCTATTTGGTTAAATGACAGAAAAGAAAGGAAAGGTTGATCAAATCTGAAGTGTAAACTTTGGGTATTTGAGGCATTTCAATAAAAAATCATTAAAAAGAATTCCTTTCCAAACCTCTTTTCCACTTTTTAATCTAAGGCAGGGAAGGAGCCATGTTGATTTTGCAACCCCTCAATTTTTAAAAAAATTCTAGAATAACAAGCAACGAATTTTCTGTCCCACTTTCTGTGTTACTCTCTCTCTCATTTTTTATTATATTACTATCTCTCCTTCATAAATATCATATTTTAGTTCTTTTTTGTTTCCTTAAGATCCAATAACTATAACCTAAGTAAAAAATAAATAAAACAGCCTTAAAAAAGCAATATATAATAGAAAATTAATAAATACAGTAGAAAATTCATAAAAAATCTCATTTTTTTATGCATTTTAATTTTTTGAGTTTGTTAAATTTTATGTATTGCTCAGTTCATGGTTATTAGATTAAACCAAAAAAAAATAAAACATAATATTTATAAAGGAGAAATAGCAATATATAAAAAGTAGAACAAAGAGTGGCACAGAGAAAGTGGGACAAAAGATCCTTTGTGAGAATAACCTATAAGAAATCTAGAATTTTTGGTATTATGTTATCCCACTCTTGGCCCCCCTGAATTTGAATAGCACTCCCTCTAGCACCACAATTACCCCCAAAGATGTTGAAATTTTTGAAGTAGCCCTCACCATTTCTACAGAAACAAAAGAATTTAGCATCAATTGGACTCTGTATACATGATCCACCTGCTATAAGCACTAGAGTTTACATCTTGAAATCTTATATATAATTTTAATTAATATACAATTTCATATCATTATATAACCTGGTAACTATTGCAAATACTAAATTACAAGAGACATCATCTTCTCATAAAAAAATGTAACACCAAAATTTGGTGTATTTATAGTAAAATATTTAGTTATTCCAAAAATCTACAAGTAAACACATTGTAAATATAAACTAACATTATTACATTCCTGAACAAAGGTCTTGACTTCGCCACTTGATGGAAATGTAACTCCGTCCACATTTGGATGGAAATGAAACTTAAGGAAAACAACCAACCACGTTCCTTCCTTCCTTTCCATTATCTCCTCTCCTCTCCTCAAAATGTCACCTTTTCTTGGTTAATATTCTAATAGAATAAAGATTTCCTTTTTATGCAATAACACTGTAGTAATTTTTATATAGTAGTAACTATGATGTATGTCACATATATACATGATTTGAATTTTAAATTTAAATTCATATTATGTGACTTGATTTAAATCTACTAGTGTAAAAATATTACACATTGACGGTGTATAAAAAACTTACTCAAATAATAATGATACAACCTTTTTGGATTGACAAATGGACTTTAGGCTCTGACAAACAAAATTAAGGGGGACAAAATAATTCAAGCTTTAAATTACCGGGGATTAAGTGCGATTTACCTGAATATAAATTTACAAATCGGAGTGACTACTTTTCAAAGTCAAAGAACAAGATTGGTTCAAGCTTTTAATTAAGGTATTAAAGGGGTTAAGTATAATTTAGCTGAATATAAACTACTAGTCTGTCTTCAAAACTAAAAGTACACGAGTTCATGCATACTGCACAACTGCAGAAAAATGCAAATATGATTATAAAGTTACCTTGCCTATCAGGATTTCATTGGTGTGGGGTCCATAGACATCCGAGGTGTCAAGATGGGTGATGCCTCTGCTAATAGCATAGTGAATAAGTTTGATCATGTCGGGCTCGGGCTTAGGCGGCCCGTAGAAGCCTGCCATGCCCATGCAGCCCAGCCCTTGAGCTGAAACTTCAAAACCTTGTGAGCCCAGCTTGATTCTTGGCACTCTCGCTTCTTCTACCACTGACGATGCCATTTTCAGACAAAAACCAGACACGCAGGAAACAGTACTGGAGGAGCAGAGGAAGAGTACTATTGGAATATATCCACAAACACACCTTAAACAAGAAACATTTCAGATCCTAAGCTCTGCTATTTATTGACCCTTCTGGTGATAAAGGAGTATATTTGATTCTACTTCACCAAGTCAATTCTTAGGAAATATGGAATCAAACCATTTGTCCTTATTTCAACAAAAGAAGCACGGGCTTCTTTGCTAGAACATATTTGGACGGTATTAAATATATGACAAAGTTACCTAATATTGTAATCATCATCGATCAGCATGAAGAATATACGGCCCTACGAGAGTGCATTGCTTGAAAATTTCAACAATTTGTTTAATCAATACAAATTGCGAAAACAAAATACCCCTTTTTGCTAGGTGTAGTCTGTTGGATATAGATCCAAATTTTCAATTTTTTTTGACTCCTTAGTATTTCTTTTTTCCGTTCCTAGCGGTAGCTGTATCAAAATGCGGCTATGTGTCACCAGTGTGTGGGAGGAGCCAACCTTCATTTTCAAATGTGAAAGGTTGAAAAATTCTAAGTTTTAATTGTGATAGGAAATAGAAAGTGAAGTAGTTGTGTATAATTTGTATTTTCTCAAACAATAACTAGGACAGATAAAATCCGTAGGATAATCTACCGTTGAGACAAAGAAATAAGGGCAAATTATATTTTACCCCCCCTATGATTTAGTGTTTTTGTACATAACTCTCCTAAGATTTCAAAATTTATAAATAACTCTCTCATGATTTGGATTAAAGTGTGAAAATAACGGAAATAATCATTTGTAACAGAACCTTTAAAAATATTGAAATTACCCTTGTTTAAAAATTAAAATAGTTGAAATAATAAAAATATATAAACGTAATATACATGACACACTAACCCTGTATGGTTTAATATTTTATCATATAACTTTCTTATGATTTTCAAAATATACACATAACCCTCCTGTGGTTAATAAATAATTTTCAACTTTACATAGGAGTATTTTTTATATTTTAGGTGACTCCGTTATAGATTATAAATTTTGTTATTTTGATACTTTAATTCAAACTATGAAAGAGTTATGTATATCTTTTAAAATTATAGGGAGGTTATGTACAAAAATACGAAGCCACAAGGGGATCAAGTGTAATTTGCTCAAGAAATAATATAAGTCAATTCAAACAAGTGATAAAGTAGTTGGCATCTATTTCCTTTGAACATTTGATTGGGACTTGGCTGACGTGAGTGCAAAGGTAAGCAATTTCCTAATGGACTCAACTCGATAAACAAACATTTAAACTCAATCACAGCTCTAATTGCCTTCAAGTTCAACACTGAAGGGATTTAATTCCATGCAACCAACACACAATAGACATAATAACACTTACATAGACTAACCAATGACAGCATAACATGTAGACCACCACTTAATTAATAATACTACAACATAAAGGCTCTATTTAACTTTGTACATTTCCTATATATATATATATATATATATATATATATATATTTATTTTATTTTTTTTTTTATTTTTTTTTTTTTGTCTTCTTGCTTTCGTTTTCTGCATCGCAAAGTATTGTGGTGAATTTTTCAGTGAATTTGGAGTTCTGCCACATAATCTTCAACATCACTAAAGTTGAGGATTCGAACCCAGGGAGTCCTCCAACAGTTGAGTGATGCATCTGTTGAATAGCACAATGGATGAGTTTGATCACGTCAAATTCGGGCTTGGGTGGCCCGTAGAAGGCTGACATAACATAACTCTGCAGCCAGGGGCATGTCTACATATAAGGCAGTGGGGACGCGTTTATTGGAACTTCTAAACCTTTTTTTTTTTTTTGGAACTTCTCAAGAAGCCATCTATAGCTTAGGACGCGTTTATTGGTTTCAGTTGCAGGTACGAGGCATCATTTCTGCCGTTATACAGTCTAAATAACAGGACCCTTTAGATATTCAGAAATACACCAGATAAACATCTTATTCAAACAGATGCAGAAGTACTACCATTGGCTTGTCCTGCGAAAAGACCAGCCAGAAATTTTTTTACATTACCAGATTTCTATCCATTACAACCTCTATATTTAGTTCTTTACCTTGTATAAGATAACTCTAAAATGAATCAACCCTCAACAGAACACTGTCACTTAGGTTGCAGTTTATTGGAACAGTTACAATTCACTCACCCTCAACAACAGTGAAAATGCATTATTCAGATAGATAGCTACATGAATTATTAGCATAACAAAGGCAGTATTCATGTGGCCTTCCACGTTGACAGAGGTGGAGTATCGGAGGTTTTCCAACTATCAAAGCCAGGGGGAAGTCTGTCACCCTTGATTCCAGCTGAAGCAATGGATTCCAGTTCAGCCATATCTTCTGCAGACAGTTTTACAGACAAAGCTCCTATATTCTGATTGAGGTTTTCAATCTTGGTGGTGCCAGGAATGGGACAAACATCGTTTCCCTGATGATGCACCCAGGCCAATGCTAGCTGTGATGGGGTACAACCCTTCTTTGAAGCAATGACATTGACACGCTCGTACATGTTCTTGTTATGCTCCATATTCTCTGATTGAAACCTCGGCAAATTCTGCATATACAGACTCTAAATGATGAGATTTGAACGTAAGGATTTTAGCTCATAATCTCTAATGACAAACTTTATATTAGTGTTTGGAGCTAAGATACTCATAATCTTTATGGTCATGGACAAACCTTACGGAAATCACCTTCAGAAAAATTCTCAATCAGCGTTGGACCTGATGAGAAGAATCCTCGTCCAAGTGGACTGTATGCTACAATTCCTATGCCAAGTTCTCTGAAAAAACAGAAGATGAAGTTGCAAATGCATACTCTTGCATACCGTACATTGAAAGTGAAGCAGAACAATATGTAACTACCTGCAAGTAGGAATAATCTCTTCCTCTACATCTCTTGTCCACAATGACCACTCCAACTGTACAGCCGTTATTGGATGAACAGCATGTGCTCTTTTGATTGTTGAAGCTGAGGCCTCAGATAGACCTATATACTTGATTTTACCCTCTTCAACCAGTTTTTTAAGTTCTCCTATCTAGAAAAAAAAAAAAGAATTTGAAGGAGCAAATACTATCATATGAAGCTCATTTAGTATTAATCATCCCAAGGCAGATAATTGGAATTTTGTAGTGTATGAGTGAAAGTATTAGTAGTCCATTGTATTGGCACAACTTTTACTAACTATACATGAAGTTGAAAACATTACATATACAATGGTATTCAATCGATTGGTTAAATTTCTTCTGTTCCATTCCTCCTATATATCATGTCACATCTTTTAGTGGATAAAGAATGACTAGTCGATGCTATAAAAATTGCCTTTGTATTGATTTAAGCGACTTGCAACATATGTTGCACAGAACTAGAATGATCGCACTTGGTGCTATTTGACAGTAGTCCCATCTGCAGTGAGTTTAAGATAGTTGCTCTGCATATGTATTTGTAATTAAAGCGACACCACAGTTCACAAGCATGCAAGATTGTCTTGGACTTGGATGATGCTATTGGAATCAGAAAGGAGATTTAAAAGCCCAAAGCTTCAATTCATGGTAAATGGACAAATTTTAGGGATCTCAAATGAATGAGCCTGAGTTCAAATAGGTTTGTGAAGTAATTGGTGTCTTCTGGCATGCTGTAGCACTGCAGAACATATTAGAACAAGCATTTTGTCATACTTGAATTGGCTTCTCTCATATATCAAAGCATGTTCCTAGAGAAAAGACAGTGTGATTTGTGTAAACCAATTCAATAAATAGATATTTGCATTTTAATCTGTTGCCATGCATCATTAGGCAACAATGTTCTATCAAATTTTTACCGTATTTAGTGCAACACATCCAAAGATGTAAAAAACTCCTTATTCCACAACTTTGTGCTGCTTAACTCATTCATAACATTGATGAACTAGTTATTACACTTCATCAAGCATAAAAGAAAGATAAAAACACAGAAGGATAGCAGAGCGAACCGTGACTTCGATGGGCAGACTTGTATCGATGCGATGCTGATAGTAGAGATCAATGCTGTCAACTCCAAGTCTTTTCAAGCTACCCTCACAAGCAGCCCTTACATATGCCGGATCACCACAAATCTCCCGCTTTCCATCCACAGGTCTAATTCCAAACTTTGTTGCTAGCTCCACTTTCTGTCGTATTCCTTCCTTCAAAGCCTATACTCATTCTTTCACAACATTAATCATCCGGGACACAAATTAAAACATGTTAATCTTGTAATAACTCCTTAACAGAAACTGTTGGGATATCCTATATAATTTTCGTATCACCCTCCTCCATTATGAAACAGCAGAAATATATGCTCTCTTAAAAATGTCAACTTTGACTATATTATTACTAGCAGCGAACTTTAACCACTTTAGCAAAATTTTCCTACTCTTTCTGGGTACAAAAATGTAATCAATACTATATTCTATGAGACTCAGGAAAATTGGAAATTTTTTTTATTCTGGGTTTCTGAACACAAAACAATCGTATACTTATCAACCTATTTACAATGCTTTTAAATCTGTATTGGAGAGCGAGTCGAAAGGGCTTTCAGTTTGCGTTTCAATTAATCCGACCGATTCAACCTTGGTTGGTTTAAAGGTTCAATAATTATTTATTTATTTTGATATTAAAAATCTGAATAAAACTAAAATATTGGTTTTAAATAAATAAAAAAAATCAGTGAAATCCAATTGAACCTCCCAATTTTTACTAATCCAACTGGTTCTTGACCAGATATAACAGGTCAATTAAATTTTTGAGTTAACTATTGAACCGGACTGAATGTATAGCCGGTTTACGGAATCAGAACCTCTCCTAATCTTACCTTAGGATACTATTTTATTCTTGAATTTTTTCTACTCTTAGCATTTTAAGCTCCATAGTAATTACATCCAAAAATTCTTCTCTCGAACTCTTTAGAGGATACATAACATGTAGGCATAACATATCGTATAATTTTGATGTAATCATGAAATTTGAGTAAAATTCCCTGCAAGTTTATACCAAATGTAATAAAAACCACAACAACCAGACCGAAGTGAATAGAACTCAACTGGGGAGCACCGTTTCCTATTTTACCACTGTATAATCTATTGCCATCATTTTAAAGCTCAAATCATTGAAGAGAGAATGATGATCAAGGTACAAGCTGAAAACCATAATTTACAACCAACTAAAGATGATGGGATTAGTACCTTGCCGAGAAGTAATTCATTGGTATGGGGTCCATAAAAATCGGAGGTGTCAAGATGAGTGATGCCTCTGCTGATGGCATAGTGAATAACTTTGATCATGTCGGGCTCGGGCTTTGGCGGCCCGTAGAAGGCTGACATCCCCAGGCAACCCAATCCCTGAGCTGAAACTTCAAAGCCGTGCGAGCCCAGCTTGATTCTTGGCACTTTCACTTCTTCTACTACTGACGATGCCATTTTCAGACAGAAACCAGACACAGAGGAAACAGTACTTGAGGAGCAGAGGAAGGAAGAGTACTATTGGAGTATATCCACAAACACTCCTTAAATAAGAAACATTTCAGATCCTAAGCTCTGCTATTTATTAACCCAACCTTCATTCTCAAATGTGAAGGTTGAAAAATTCTACGTTTTAATTTTCATAGGAAATAGAAAGTGAAGAAATTGTGTATAAATTTTATTCTCTCAAACAATAACTAGGACAAGATAAAGTCCGTAGGATAATTTAGTATTGAGACAAAGAAATGAGACAAAGTGGAAAAGTAGCTGGCATCTGTCTCCTTTGGAACATTTGATTGGGACTTGGATGATGTGAGTGCAAAGGTAAGCAATTTCTGATGAACTGAAATCGATAAACAAACATTTAAACTCAATCACAGCTCTAATTGCCTTTTCCATGCAATCAACACACACAATAGACATAATAACACTTGTATCGAATAACCAATGACGATGTGGTATGCAGACCACCACTTAGTTATTAATACTAAAACATAATGGCTTGATTTAACTTCCTACATTTCCTTTTCTTTTTTTTTTTCGTTTTTGTCTTTTTTGCTTTCGTTTTCTGCATCGCAAAGTATTATGGTGAACATTTCAGTGAATTTGGAGTCCTGCCACATAATCTTCAACGTAACTAAAGTTGAGGATTCGAACCCAGGGAGGCCTCCAAGTGACTACTTATCGTGCCTTTTTTTTTTTCCCCTTTTTGGCTTAAGTACAAGTTGTTCCTCTGTAATTATAATTTAGTAGCAAATTATCTGTGTAATCATGAAACATACACAATACCCCTGATGATTAAAGGTCAAATCTATGGGGCAAATAAAGACAATCCCTTATTGTATTTCATTATATATATTTTTTAATTTTCTCTTTCTTCTTTTCTTCCTTTTCTTTATTACGTTTAGATTTCTTTTTCTTCTTCCTCTACTCCTATTACTGCATATAAACTTTAACAATATTGTGCTAAAGAATTTTCTTTTATGGTTAAATACATATACTAAAAGTATTTAATCATTATATAGGAAATTAAAAAGCATTAGTTTTTAGCTAAATGTCATGATGCATTAGTTTTTAATGAGTAATATATAGAATTATAAAACATAATTTTGCAAAATATCTACATTTTAATTTTTGCAATAGTTTATGACGATATAATATTTTACATAATGAAAATACATATTTAAGCCTTAAAAGAAACTGCCAATAAGGGGTAATAGCAATTTCATTTAAGGCTTAAGTAAGTATTTTTGTTATGTCAAATATTTAAGTATCATAAGTTATTTTAAATTATAAAGTATATATTTTGTAAAAATCTGTTGTGTAATTTCTATATTTTAAAAGATAATGCATCATGATATTTAGCTAACAATTAATACATACTAAGAAATTGTTAATACAAATGTGAAATACTTAAGTTTCTTTTATAAAAATATATGCTTTTTAATTTCTTTTTTGTCATGTTTTTTAATTTCTTATAATAATGATTATGATTAAATTCTTTTAGTTAAAAACTAACAATTTGTATTGAACTATAATAGAAAATTTTTTAGCACATTATTATAAAAATTTGTATGTCATAATACGAATAGAGGGGGAGGAAAAAGAAGTCTAAATATGATAAAGAAAAGGAGGAAAAAAATAAAATGAAAAAAATTCCGTAAAGAACTTTTCGCTTAAAATTTAAGTAATAATATAACATTGGAAAAAAGTGGCCAAATGAGAAAAGTGATAATGGAAAACGAGAGAGAGTAATAAATTTGGCAGTTGATCTTATTTTCGGGTAAAGTACATAAAACCCCCCTGTGATTAAGGAAATTGACACGAAACCTCCTCATTGTTTAGAAACTCCCACTTAATCCCCCTGTGCTTTGGACTTGTTTGGATTTTACCTGTTAACCGGCTGGGAACCTGTAATAATATGAAATACCAAAAATACCCTCATATATAATATGTGAAAAGTTACAGATGCAACGACGACGGTAAATTCTTGCTTTTCCGAGAGATCAACATCGTCACCGTCAACAGCTCTCCACTCGAAATGCCAAATCAAATTAGCCCAGCGCCAAATGGCATCATCTTTATCTCTTTACTCCCAGTAACATCGAACAGCTGACCTTCGCTATTGTCCCCGGCCATTTTTTCCTCTAAAAATCTCTCAGGCCTGAATTCCATAGGACTTTCCCACACCTTTGGGTTCCAACCCATCTCAGCCACCATGAAATTCACAGTAGCATTCTTGGGAACTACATAACCCTCCAACTCCACTGCTTTGAGGTAAGGTATTTTCTGCAAGTCCTCTTCCTTCACCTCCTCCGTCTCCTTCAAACCGTCCCCGGACGACGATGACGATGACGATGACAAAGACAAAGGTGGTGGCGGGCCGACAGCCAAGAAAAATTTTGGGAGTTTGACATTTTGGGTTCTTCCTTCAAAAAAGCTTGCCTGCCCAAGCACTGACGGATCGAACTCAACGCAGCCCTTCCCCTTTTACCCCGTGAGTGCAATAGGACAAATCCCGTTACCAGAAATAGTCCCAAGTCAACAAGCCCATCTGGAATTTGTTGGTTTCCTGCATGGAACCGCCCCTTTCTGCCACCGTCACATTATCGGAGGCTCCAAGTCCAACCCATATTGGTTTCTCGACAGAAAACGCAAGCCGCGACTACTTGTTTTGCTTGTTGGGCGAGGAAACGAAATTTCAAATGGTTCATAGAAGAAAAGCTATTGGGTTTTGGGGGCCAATAGATACCATTATTCTTCATCTTTTTCTTTCATCTCACAAACCCAATTCCAGTTGCTCGTTTGGGTTTCAAACAATGAATCCACATTGTAGAATTGCACCTAATATTGGAGGTGTCCACCTAAAGTGAAACACTGCTTTGAGGTAAGGTATTTTCTGCAAGTCCTCTTCCTTCACCTCCTCCGTCTTCTTCAAACCGTCCCCGGACGACGATGACGATGACAAAGACAAAGGTGGTGGCGGGCCGACAGCCAAGAAAAATTTTGGGAGTTTGACATTTTTGGGTCCTTCCTTCAAATGATAGCTGATTTAGCCCCTCCAAAGCTTTTCTTGATCCATCCAAAGTTGCGCTGAGCTCTTTACGTTTTTGGGTCTTCGTTTTGCATCTCTTTGTCGAAAATTTTCATTTGCAGATCTACAACTATGGTGGGTGCAAGTTTGGAAGAGACATGGAGGACAAAATTGGAATGAAATGAGTTTCTGCTAGACACAAGTTACCATTAAGTCGCGTAAATATCACTCGCTAGCTTTGCAGCCGGTTAGCAGGTAAAATCCAAACAAGTCCAAAGCACAGGGGGGTTAAGTGGGAGTTTCTAAACAATGAGGAGGTTTCGTGTCAATTTCCTTAACCACAGGGGGGTTTTATGTACTTTACCCCTTATTTTCTGCAAACCTGCTTCTAGATATGTTTGTTTATAACTATTTATTAGCAAATACAATGTTAAATATTTTCAAAATTTGATCAGTTGCAAGACGGGAGCCCGTCTTAGGACCACTATAAGACTTATCATTGTCTAGTTCTTGCAATGTTCAGAAATTGTTCAAATCTGCTTGGCACCTTTACATGTTTTTGACAGTTAATTGCCATCTAAATGGTGTTTAAAAGTTCAAAAACTGTCTGAATACTTGGATTGATGTTGAGGAACATTCTGACCAAATGAGACGCAATCCGAATGAGACGCGTCCAACCATTTGGATACCGGCTTAATGGTAATAAAAGTAATTTAGAGCATTTTTCTGCATGGTTTTTCTGATCATTCACCTAAAGAACTTAATTTTGATGCATTAAAATGACAATTACTTGACGAGGTGTGCTTCTCTTCTCGAGATACTGCAGGTTAAATTATTAAATGAGTTTTGACAAATGTATGTTAATGCTTTCTAGCTTCATGTACCTTTTTCCTAGTGTACTTTATGGATTTAATTACTTGGCCATTAATTAAAAACTTTCTCCAATCTGGAAGGCAATTTAAAAAAAATATATGAACATGATTTTTTTAGAAAAAAAAATTCTAAAGAAGCAACCTATAGTATTTACATCTCAGGTATGTATTTTTATTGGTGACACTTTTTGTCTTTTAAAATTCTAAAGGGAAGACAACAGACAACATTTAAAAATACACCATTCAGCAATTTATAGGTTTCAAACAGGTATGAGGCATCATTTCTGCCGTTATATAGTCTAAATAACATAACCCTTTAGATTATTCAGACAAACATCTTATTAAAACAGCAGCAAAAGTACTGTTGGCTTGTCCTGCTACAAGACCAGCCAGCAATTTGTTTACATGACCAGATTTTTATCTATTACAACCTCAAGTTTTTAACTTCGTATAAGATAGCTGTAAAATGAATCAACCCTCAACACAATACCATCAATTAGGTTGCAGTTTATTGGAACAGTTACAATTCACTCAGCCCTCAACAACAGTGAAAATGCATTATTCAGAGGCAGTATTCATGTGGCCTCCCACGTTGACAGAGGTGGAGTATCAGAGGTTTTCCAACTGTCGAAGCCAGGGGGAAGTCTATCACCCTTTATTCCAGCTGAAGCAATGGATTCCAGTTCAGCCATATCTTCCGCAGACAGTTTTACAGACAAAGCTCCTATATTCTGATTGAGGTTTTCAATCTTGGTGGTGCCAGGAATGGGGCAAACATCGTTTCCCTGATGATGCACCCAGGCCAATGCTAGCTGTGATGGGGTACAACCCTTCTTTGAAGCGATGACATTGACACGCTCGTACAGGTTCTTGTTATGCTCCATATTCTCTGTTCGAAACCTTGGCAAATTCTGCTATTGGAATCAGAAAGGAGATTTAAAAGCCCAAAGCTTCAATTCATGGTAAATGGACAAATTTTAGGGATCTCAAATGAATGAGCCTGAGTTCAAATAGGTTTGTGAAGTAATTGGTGTCTTCTGGCATGCTGTAGCACTGCAGAACATATTAGAACAAGCATTTTGTCATACTTGAATTGGCTTCTCTCATATATCAAAGCATGTTCCTAGAGAAAAGACAGTGTGATTTGTGTAAACCAATTCAATAAATAGATATTTGCATTTTAATCTGTTGCCATGCATCATTAGGCAACAATGTTCTATCAAATTTTTACCGTATTTAGTGCAACACATCCAAAGATGTAAAAAACTCCTTATTCCACAACTTTGTGCTGCTTAACTCATTCATAACATTGATGAACTAGTTATTACACTTCATCAAGCATAAAAGAAAGATAAAAACACAGAAGGAAAGTAGAGCGAACCGTGATTTCGACAGGCAGACTTGTATCGATGCGATGCTGATAGTAGAGATCAATGCAGTCAACACCAAGTCGTTTCAAGCTAGCCTCACAAGCAGCCCTAACATAGGCTGGATCACCTCGAATCTCCCGCTTTCCATCCTCAATTTTGACCCCAAATTTTGTTGCTAGCTCCACTTTCTCTCGTATCCCTCCCTTCAAAGCCTATACTCACTCTTTCACAACATTAATCATCCAAAAGTGTAGAACTTTGACTATGTTTTTTACGAGAAACAAACTTAAACCACAATGGTTAAATTTTCCTATTCTTTGTGAGACGTTGTAGAAGTTGCAAAAAGTTAAATATATGCTGTAGTCATATTTCCAATGATTAAGGTACATAATGTAATCAAAACTATATATCCTCTGAAACTCACGAAAATTGGAAGTTTCTTTTATTTGCGTTTCCTTGCACAATAATCATACCTATTTATAATAATCTCTCATAGACCTAAGGAATCTGACCTTTTCCACTCTTTGCATTTTTGAGCTAGATGGTAATTGGCAATTACATCCAGAAATTCCTCTCTCGAATTCAACACAGGATATATACCATGTAGGCGTATTCTTGTCTTTCTACAAACTCTAAAAGTCAAGTGGTGCCGTGCCATTAACAAACATAGAACGCCAATAAAAAGTCAAGGAAAGTTTTAGACATTGCTTAGGGGTGTGAGTGATTTTGGTGTTCATACAGCATTTTTTTTTTATTAATAAATAAAAGTTTTATAATTTATGTAATTTAAATTATGTTTGAAAAAAAAATTTGAGAAGTGAGTCAAACAGTTGAATCGAATCATTGATTTAATCGATTTTTAACAATTTTAACTAACTTTTTATCACAGCAATTTTATACTATTAACTAATTCAAAAAGAAGATGGATTCATGATTGGATCGACTAGTTCGATCCAAATCCAACAACACTGGATAGAGGTGGAGATGATGAAGGAATGTGGCAGGGGCCCATCAAAATTTGATGATTTATTCATATTTGACTTGGAGTAGGGTATTATTGGTATTTTGACAAAAATAGCTGTGGACGTAAAATTTGAGCTGTGAATTTATCACTTGCCTTTATATCATTCACTTTTGTCAAATCAGTGCTATAATTTAACAAGTTTGTGATAACAATAAAATTAAATTTTTCATTAACTACTTAAAACTTTATTTTTTTTAATTAAAAGCTCATATCTGTAATAAAATATTACTCATTAAAAATTTAAAAAAAAGTTTAAAATTTTTAACTGTCCAAGCCCGTTTTAAGCCCAAAATGTAATGTATCAAAGGATTGAGCTTAAACCAAGATATTTTAAATCTAAACAGATTAAACTCAGACTCAAGCATGATTTTTTTTTTAAGTGAAAGAATTTTCTAACTACAACTCCTTTCAGTCACCGCTAAATCCAAGACCCAAACATGATTAATATAATTGATCTTGGACTAAGCAAAACCCGATTCTAAAGGCCCGATTGACGGAGAATCATGATCATTGTACAAGTTGAAAACCGTACTCAAGATGATAAATAGTAGTAGTACCTTGCCCAGAAGTAATTCATTAGTATGGGGTCCATAGACATCGGAGGTGTCAAGATGAGTGATACCTCTGCTAGCAGCATAGTGGATAAGATTGATCATGTCGGGCTCGGGCTTGGGTGGCCCATAGAAGGCTGACATGCCCATGCACCCGAGCCCTTGCGCTGAAACTTCGAAACCTTGTGAGCCCAGCTTGATTCTTGGCACTCTCACTTCTTCTACTGCTGACGATGCCATTTTTTGATTTTGCAGACAAAAACCAGACACGAGCAAAACCAGTGGAGGAGCAGAGACGTAATACTATTGGAGTCAACTCACCTAGCAATTTAGACTCTATAGACTCTTATTTATTGACCGTTTGGTGACGAGGCGGTACTAGTATATTTTACCTTACTTCTTTTGCTATTCTGGGTTTGAACTTTGAACATGCCTCTGTAATTATAGATTTTATAGTTTATTTATAGAAATTTTTACAAATTGTCTGTCAACACGACCATCACATGAGTAACAGTATTTGAACACATAATTCATTTTTTATCAATTGAATTAACTTCTGTTGACATATTTTATCCTACTTCATGTCATGTGTCACCACTTTGTAGGAGGTTCCAACCTTCGCATTCAATTGTGAAGGTTGAATATTCTTCATTTTTGATAGCCAGTTAGCCAAGGAAAACCACCGGTACTCTTAAAAAAAAAAAAAGAAAAACTGCGGGGTGGAAGTGGTATTGCAGTCGCTGGACCCAAAGAACAGTGTCCAAAAACAATGTGGTCACAATTGAAACCTTGAATAAAAACTTTAGATCACAATTAAAATCTGGAACAGTCCCCAAATAAATTAATCACCCAACTACGGATGCTGTTGAGTCGAGCCGAGCTCAAACTCGAAGGTTATGGGAACTACTTGAGTTCGAACAATTCCCTAATTTCAAACTTGAACTCGGCTTGATGTAGTTGAAAAAAAACTCAAGTTCAACCTCAAAGTACTCGACTTAAGCTCAAAAAATGAGCTCGAAAACCTTCGTTAAATTAGATCTTTTCCTTCTTAATGTTTTCAAATTAAGTTCTCTAAAAAACAAGAAATAAGAATTATGATTTATGAAATCCTAGCTTCGCCCACACAAATAAATAAAGGTGGTAGAATGGTTCATTATAAATTTCATAAGTTGCTTACCTATATTAGTAATTTCATATATATTATATATAACTTTTTTATTTTTTTAATGAGATACTAGATAGAGTTTGCCAAACTTTCGAGTATCTCATAACTAGGATTGAGGTCGACTCGTCACTTCTATCGAGCAGCTCGAACTCATTCAAGGCTCCACTCCTATCTAACACCCACTCTGCCTTGGCACACCCAATAACCCATTTAAATCAATTTGGAAGACACACAAAACAAAGCCTAATAATAGCAACTAGAAGTTGCAAAATCCAATATCCGATTTTCTCCACAAGATTTAGCATCAGATCTTGTAGAAATTACACAAAAAATGATGTAATTAACGAATACTCGAGCACGTTATTTGTGCAGATAAGGTAGTGCGTTTGCCCGCTTACAGGTGGCTAATTACTCAGAATATGGATAAAAAAAAGAAAAGTTGAACATCTATCGGTCTGACAAGGGGTAACTGTAAAACTATGTTAGCCCAGCAGCCAAAAAGCCCAAAATTTTTTTTAAAACTCTGACACTACTGCCGGGCTAACAAAAAAAAATTTGTTTTTTATAAGTCTGCTGGCTGCCTGGCTGACAGTAGACTTCTGCAAAAAGCTAGCTGCCGCGCTCAGTCCAATTAAAAAAAAAAATTCCAAACGTTGAAATTTGGCAGTGCGATGTGCGGATATTGACAGCCCATTCCGATTCTTTTTTTTTTTTTTTTTGGAAATTTTTGGAAATTTTAATCACAAATTTGTGGCTTTAATCACTAATGCCCCCTCCCAAATCAGGACACATAAAATTAGTAATGGGCTCCTGACAAAAGCTAACTATTAACACCTGTTTCAATTCACGCCTTCTCTAATAAGGCGCCAAGTGTAGACTGCGTCTTTAAGCTTCCTCCATTCTCCAAGATTAGGATCGATTCACATCTACCAATTGGTGGGGTCATTTACCATTGAACAAATGCTCGAGTTTTGAGTAGCTTTACCTGAATGGGGCACGGAAACCGCTTGATGAATTGTCTGTGAGGGATCAGGTTGTAAACTGGAGCCATACGACTTTAAAAAATTTGAACATGCCACAGAGCTTGGTAAAGTGGACTGGTTCCCAAAAAATACAGATGAAGGTGGATTCGGCGTCTTGTTGAAGTTGTACAAGGAGTGTGCTAGGGGTTACATGCGTTGACTGAGGATGTACATTGTAGGATATGTAGAGGCATCAAAGTCCATGAACATTGTGCATGCAGTGCTTTTCGTTTAAAAGTGGTGTAGGGTAACGTTTTTGTGGGGAAAATGATTAAGTGAACATGAATAAACATAGGGTCTTGCTAATAAGATGTCGTTTCCTCTTAATGGAAAATCTCATTGGTTTGAAGCTAAATTTGGGGTGAGACATCAATCAGGGAACCTGAGAAAAGAACCTCTGATTTCTGCTTGATTGAGCTTAGATAAAGGGGTGCTTGAATTTGTTGCTTATGTGCGGATATTGACAGCCCACTCCGATTCTTTTTTTTTCAATATTTGGAATTTTTTTTTTTAAATTGGACTGGCAGTTTTTTGCAGAAGTCTGCCAGCTGCCGGGTTGCCCGGCAGAGTTTTAAAAAACAATTTTGGGCTTATTGGCGGCCAGGCTGACAGTTTGCAGTTACCGCTGCCAGATCGATAGATATCCGACTTTTCTTTCTCTCATCCATACAGCCCAGTGCAAAATATATCTTGGCAAAGTAATTTTCAGTTCAAAAAAAATTATAGAAAAAATTTCACCAGAGAGATAGAGGCTCTTAAATGGCAAAAACCAGGCAAAGAAAGTGGGTTGCAGTGGCTGCAATTCCTGCACAGTAGTCTCAAAATCATAAAACGATCAACTCACTTTCCCCAAAAAAAAAAAATTAAATAAAAGGATCAACTTATAGAGTAATTTGGCAGAAATCAAGCACAAGGAAGTACCAAAAGAAAACTATTTTGCTAGTTCACAAAAAAAAAGGAGAAAACAAAGAAGTAAAAAATTGTCCCAGTAAATCTGATTCCTCAAGCACGCAAATAAAAGCGTCAAACATAACCTAAGTCAATTAGTGCTTTACAAAATAAGAAAAAGCAGGAAAACAGAGAGCTCACTGGACCAAAGGCAATAGGAAGAACCAAATGACCAGAAGGTTCAGAAACTTTAGGTTTCTCTCTTATATAAGGAAATTTTGATTCAACAAGGTTAATGTTTGCACTTTTGATAGATAATATCTTCAAATATTTGACAACTGCATAAAAATATTATTTTATTATTTATAATCTAAAAATTAATTTAGCAGTTGAAGAATTTTCAATTACTAAAAGCGATGTAAATAGCAATATCTACATATTTCAATCTCATAAAATCAAAATCTAAGCATTTTTCAAGGTGGAATATGCATTCATATTTATTTCATACTGATATTCAGCTTTTGATTATGTGTAAGTGGTAAAAAAAGGTTTTAAAAAAAAAAGCAAGAAAAGGGAATTTGTAGATAAAACTTACATAAAGATTGGGGAGTGAATTTTTTTCTTTAGAAAAGAAATTGTTATAAAAAGTTTTGATTTAATATTTAAAAGCTAAGGTTACCTATGTCTAACAAATACTATGGATTTAGTATGAAAAAGTGTGGAGATAAAACGGCAAAGAAAAGTTTTACAATGTAGGATTGAAACTAAATACTAGCTTATCCCACTTATTAAAGTTTAAAACACCTAATCAACATACTAAACATTTTTTGTTATACTCGAAACATTTTTAGTTATTAAAGCACTTTATCAAAGGAAAAAATTTTCCCCAAAATGCTAAATATATTCCGCAATAAAGATAGCATGCAATTGTTGTAGGCAATAGTTGAAAAAATTGACACATATTAATGGATGTAACAATCTTAAAGACAAAACCAAAATAATGAATATGCCAACTTTCACAACAAAACTCAAATATAAATTTCAATATTATTTACTTTTTAATAATTCTACATTTATAAAAATATGTAAGTGTAAGAAAATGCTAAAATGGCTGGACTCATTGTCCTTTTTTGACCACGAGCCAGGGCTTCCTCATTGAAAATTTGGAGCCCAAGACACAATTGAGCCCTTATGTTGTGTTATGGCCCAAAACCGTCTCACTTGCATTCACCCTTGAAGCCTTTCCATGCCAACTGCCTCAAGCCTCTCATTCCCAGGTCCAAACTTTGGTGCAATAGACTCTTCAACACGACTCGATGCTACAAAGAATGTTGCCAATTTAACGGAAAAAAAAAAGATTAACAGAGCAACAATGATTATGCGACTAAACTATATACAGATAACACAAGTCTATCCAATTTTATCAGTCCATAAAATCACTAAAATAAAAAAAAGGAGAGCAAAAGAAGCAAATTACCCAAGTATATTAACGAAGATGGAGAGGAGGGATGAAGGTGGAGGGGCACAAGGAGAGGGGGATGGGAGCGGGGTTAGCAAACACCAACCGTTTGTAGTTGCGAAGGTAACTGAAGACCAAGACTTCAAGGAGGGTATTGGGTAAAGAATGGGGAGAAGGGGAAAGAGAAATAGGCGGGGGAGGTTGGATTGAGTGTTAAGGTTGAAGAAATTATAAATGAGAGATCCTGAGTTTAAAACCTTTAATTTATAAAAAAAATTAAAAAAATAAGCCGAAAATTTGATAATTTGGTCGTGAAGGTAAAGGAAAGAGGGACATAAGGGTGATGATTTTCATTTTCTTTTGTAGAAAATATATAGGGATGACAATTAGGTCGAGTCATGGGTTGGCTGGTCAAGTTGAGACTCAAGTATCCTAAATCGCAAGTCAACTCGAACGTGACCCGAAAAATTAAATGGGTCAACTCCCTTGATCCGCATATAGTTTGTTAATTTTACAGGTTACTCGAACTCGACTTGAATTACTTGCATGCTTAAATTTTTGTGGCTTCTCACGTAGTATGGTGGGCATTTGTATGATAGAGTTTCCATAAAAATATACAAAATTGTAACCCAATCCTAGATTTTGTATATATTGCTTGTAGTAACTTTTTGGTTTTCCTTTTTTGTAAAAAAAAAAAAAAGAACAAAAATAAAACTGTGACACTTTCACAAATAAAATCTTTTGTTTTCACTTAATGTTCTTGATTACATTCTCATAATACTA